AGTTGTCCGTGTGGCTGTGGATCGGTCAACGGAGCCAAATCGGGAGCCCGGCCCGTGACCCCCTTTTTCTTCACCAACTCTGACGGAAGGCGGAGAGTCAACGGAGCTGTGCGCGGGTGTGGTGCCTTCGAGGACTGGCAGGTGGTGAGGGGCTCTTCGTCCGCAAATCCAGCTGCTTACATACTAGTACCTTTGCAGACAATTGTACTCTGTAAGCAGCATGTCACAGTGTTACACTGTTTTGAAACACTGATTACTTAATCGGTAATCGGCCCCATCAAGTGACCTGACACTCCGGCCTTGAATTTGCCTTGAATTAAGTCAGTTTCTCAATGCTGCTCCCAAACTTAAAACTCACACCTTCCTCTGCCCTCCGTGTTCCAACCCGTCATCTTCAATGGAGAACGCGGTCGTGTCTGTACGAGACCAAGCCCCAGGCCAAAGGACGACAGCCTCATGATCAGCTCCGCATTTTCGCTCCACGTCTTCCTTCCTGGCTTGATGTTTCCTGCTCGGCCCCACGGTCTTGCCAAATTTCGCCCCTGAAGCACGTATTTCTTCACCAGCACTCGTCTGTGGCGCTATTCTGTTCGGTACGTGAACGTGTTGATGGTAAGTTTCGTTGTGTTTTCACCTTCAAATGCTCATTTTCCCTCAGATGAAACTTCACCCCTTCCGGTTTGTCCATCGAGCACCGCCAACAATGCAACTGCCGTTGTGATGCCTCGCTGTCAACATCCTCCCGAAACCAGTAGAAATATCGCTCAGCGCGATTCTTGGGTGAGTTCTGTGCTATCCTCACGTCTAAACGCTAAATTAGCATTCAGATAATGACACAAGCTTGGATTCACAACAACAACTCTTGCGTCGCCATCGACGCCATCATCAAGACCCGGCGTCGCAAAGCATTTTCTCTCTACAATCTTACCCCCAACAGCGCTGGTTATTTTCCGGAGCTTGCCTGCGGCGGCCGGGGTTTCGACGGCAGGAGGCACAGCGCAGGCTGCCTCGCCGTCAGTGATTTCCAAGCTCTGATTTTTTCGAGTTTGCTGCTGCCATCGACGCCATCATCAATTCCCGCAGACCCCGCCATTTTCTCTCGAAAATCTTGCCCCACAGCACTGTTTATTTTCTGGAGCTCGCCTGCGGCGCCAGAATTTTGACAGCAGGAGGCCCAGCGTTCTTCCTGTTTCTGCTCCCTGGCCGTGCTTGATCATGGTGGGTAAATCCACCTTATTCGTTGCAAGATAACTGATTCCAAGGTCAGTATCCTGAACACGTCGCTCGTCTCGCTCCAAATTACGCCATCAATGATGCGATCAGCCCATTTTCCGACGATTCTGGGGACGTCATTTGGACTGAAAAAAACGCGTTATAACGCGTAATTTTTTTCCAGGATTTTGCCGCCGGAGGCCGCATACGGGAGAACTTTCAACGCAAATATTGGCGGCAGTGCGCTGCCTTCTCCCACCATCGTAAGTTTCAAACTCATCTTTTGTTCCCGTTGCTTACACCATATCTGCACTATCAGGCCGCGTTGGTCTTCTCCTTCACCAGCCATCCCCGCGATAATTTGCTTGCAGCGCTACCGACACCATTGACCTGGCGCCTTCAGCTTGCATGTCGGAAAAGACAGGAAACAGGCACGCACCTGCGGTAGACCGGCGCTCCACATTCTGATTTTTCACCTTCGGCTGAGCGTTGCTGATTCAGAGGCGACTAAAGGTGTGGGAGAGAAGGCCTCGGACCACTTGGTGGGAGAAGACAAATGATTTTTCGACCAGTGCGTGAGGAGGTTACTCGGAGTCTTGATTTAAAAGACTAACCAAAAGTATTCCACTCTGAAACAATGCAGATATGGCTCGCTATCCGTTGCTCTCCACAGTAAGCATGATGTGCGAGCTGTAAGCATTGTTGGTGGTCAGAAAAAAAGAAATGATGCGCCGTGCCAATTCCCGATCACACCGTCCTTTGCTGACTACCACGACGAGTCAACAACTCAGCCCACTTATCGCTACCTGCGGACATCTCTCAAACATGTTCCGGTTACCCGTCTCTCATCCAGTCTCATCGGACATTTCGCAGCGGGCAGAGAGTGACGCGTCATCATTATCGACTTTGGCCTCGATTTGAAAACAAATCCTACGTATACCCCCCGGCACGACAACTCATTGCACATTACGAGGGTGGAAGGCGCGGGCGCCACCAGCGGTGCTGTCGACGCGTGTGCCCGTGGTATCGTCGAAGTCTGACGTCTTGCTTTATAAGGAGCCAGCTTACTGAGCTTACAGAGCCACCGATATTCACCGTATTTTCTGACCATGACCATCACCAAGGACCCTGCTGCTCCTCTTGTCGCTGTTGTAGGCGCTACTGGGACCCAAGGCGACAGCGTTGTCCTCGCCCTCACCGAATCCGACAAACCATATCGAATTCGCGCATTCACCCGCGACGAGTCGAAACCCGCGGCGAAAGCATTGGCGGAGAAGGGCATCGAGGTGGTCGCGGTAGCATTGTCGGTGGAGAATAGCGGTGCCGTATTCAAGGCGTTTGAAGGGGCGGACTATACTTTCGTGTGTGCTACCCTTTCTCTGTCAGATTCGTCCTTATATGCTCTTTAGCTTGTCACCAACTGGGCGGAACACGGAGACCCACCACGAGTGAGTTGTTACAGTCCTCAACTCATTGCATCAACTCTCTCCAGGAAACCACCGAAGGCAAGCTCATGATCGACGCTGCAAAAGCCGCAGGTGTCAAGGGCATCGTCTGGTCCGGGCTGCCCAGCATCGACGCTCTGTCTGGCGGCAAATACAAGAACGTGGGCCATTTTGAAAGCAAAGCACGCGTCTCCGACTACGGCCGCGCTTCTGGTGTCCCTTTCGTCGACATCCAGGCTGGCGGGTACGCGAGCAACATGCGCACCTTCATGCGTCCAGTCAAAATCTCCGAGGACACTTGGGCAGTCAATCTTCCCCTGCCCCCGACAACGCGGATGCCCATTATTGACGCTGAGCGAGACTATGGCCTGTTTGTCTGTAAGGCACTCGAGCTGCCGGTCTTTCCTGACAAACAGACGTGGGCGACGTTTGGCGAGCTGATCAGCTTTGAGGACCAGACGAAGCAGCTTTCGGAGGGTGACGTTTTCGCAAGGTGGTTCTGTTTCGATGGTTGATCGTTCTCCAGCGACTGGCAAGAAGGTCGTCTTCAACCAGATACCATCTGCAGTCTTTGGCGAAGGAGTCAAGAGTGCCGGTACTCCGCCACATATTGCGCTGGCCATCGAAGAGGTCTTCACATCTGTCGGCGAGTTTGGATGTACGATCTTCCTTCTCTTTTCCATTTTGATGAATACTAACTTCTTGCTCGATAGACTTTTCGGAAGGCACTGTGATCTCGTAGGAGGGGCTCGCTCGCCAACCGCGCACGTGGAAGCAGTACGTGCAGGCTCAAGATTGGAGCGATGTGCTCCTTTGAGCGTTCTGTACAAGCATTTTGGAGAGTTTAGGTGTAGGCTTTTGTCCCTGCACAAACGGGAAATGTACTGATGTGTTCTGCTAGACTACACCGACGATGCCGTTCAGCTTGGAAATGGTCTATTGCACTGCCAACCTGTGGTGCGCCATTTCCTCGCCACCGACCTCGAGCCGTCCGCCGCCGGTACGTGCCCGAACCGGGTAGCCACGTCTTTCCTCTTATCCACCACGCAAACCGCAGGTCCCCACGCGTTGACGTTGACCCCTTCCAAAACGCTCTGTCGGCCGGCAGCCACGTGCCCGGATCGCGGGGTCGACTACGCCAATCTCGCACCGGCATCAACAACAACAACCAGCTGCTCGTCCCTCGACGCCGAACCGACCTTTACAGGGGCTGCTCTTACTGGGGGTGTCCGGATATCTTTACAACCGCCGCGCAACACTATTGACGGCGCCATTTGCTTACACAGTCGCTCTCCTGCGCAACAGTGCTGTGCTCATGCCAACGCTTCACCAGAAGAACCAACGACTGTGGTAAGTTTTGTACTCTTTCTCATGTTTTACCTTCTCATTTCTTATCCCCAGACCATTTCCCCTCGCCCGAACAGCCATTTTTTGCTGGAGCTCGCCTGCGGCGGCGCCGTTGAAGCCGACGATGCTACCCACCAGCGGCATTGATCTGGGGCACACACGCCAACGTGAATCCTAAGCTGCAGATGTTGCCCATACAATGTGTGTTGCGCTCCCACAATTTGCCCCCGCAACAGCCATTTCTCGCTAGAGCGAGCCTGCGGCACCAAATCCTCTGTCATTGCACGTAGTTGCGAGTTTCAATCACTTCCCCCCCCAAACTTGTCCCTCGCAACACCCATTTTTTGCTGGAGCTCGCCTGCGGTGCTGTAGATACCCTGGTTGACCATACTGCTCACCAGCGGCAGTGGCCACGAACGCGGCCCTCTCCGTCGTCGCTGACTCCAGACTCGATCATGAGGACGAACATGCCCGACAACGTATGTTAATGTTGCTGAGAAAGAAGTTCCAACAGAACCAAGGTTGTTGGAGAAACCGAAGATGGGCCTAAAGAAATCCATGATTCATGGGGTGACCAAAGACAAAGTTCGTTCAGGTTCAACTACGCACCATCCGTTGTTGATAGCTCTGAAGTTGGCGTTGTTCAGGTTAGAGAGCTGTCCATTATAAACGAACGCGGCTCGCATCCTGGAGGCATTATCGCCGCTCTGCCATGTCAACCCATTTGCGTTCAATGTTGACCAGACGGCCGTGCCCCAGTTGGGGTAGTCGCCGCTTTCGCTGAACTGTGTGGGGCTCTGTGTTTGGATCGTGAATGTCTGTAGATTTCCACCCGTGACCGAAACGGAGTTGTCGACAGCCCACGATGCGACCTTGGAGGAGTCGGCATTTGCCCATATAATACTACTTCATAGCACGTGCGGTGGACTGGGAGTTCTTCTCTCAGCTTACCCATAGCGGACATGCGTCTCATACTTATCTCGTCAGCAGCTTGAGATGCTGTCGACGGACTCGGATAGAAGCGACGACGATGAGGATGACGAGGAAGATTATGACGACTTCGACTCGGATGACTACTCTGACAAAATGGAAGATGTCGAGACTCCTCCAAGTCGTGACCATTTCGACGGGCTGTCAAATTGTAGTGGCTGCTCATCGAGAAGCCCGACCCCAGCCTCGCTAGAAATCGCTGGGGATCCCGCCCAACTTACGATAACGGGAATAACTGGCAGCGATGACGCACAGCTCTACCATGCAGTGTTGGACATGGGCGGTACCAACCAACGGTCGATTTTGCTGAAGGCCATTGCACGAACACGAGCAAGTGATTTAGCTGACAAACTCGCTACATATGAACGACTCGATGCGAGAACGTCAGCAAACAAGTCCCCCAGCCTCGTTCCACAGTGCTTGGGTGCTTTCGAAGACCCGCATTGTGCCTGGGTGGGAGCTATACTCGAGCATTCGGAGAGCTGCCCGCCATTCGATGCGTTATCCCCACCGAGAAGTAAGCGGGATTAATCATCACAAGATTGTTTGCTAATTATAATGTGCTCAGAAACGATGTGTATAATGCTCTGCGCCGTCTCCATAGCCTGGGTGTGCAACCGGCTCTTTTCGCGATGAACATGTGAGAAGGAGTGCCAACGGGGACTGGTGGATAAGGGAACTGGAGAGCGCCAAAGAGGAGGCGCGGTTGAGCGATCTGGTGGTGCGGGAGTATGCGGGTTTCGTCAGGGACGGCCGCAAAAGCACAGCATCGCTTGCAACAAGCCCGGTCATCAAGACTTTTCAAGACAGACTACCACCCTGGTCGAGCCCAAGGAGACTATCGAGTCGCAAAAGACCCAGTTAGCGGAGTGAATTGGCTTGGTGGGTGTTTGTTCCCCCAGCGATTATACTGAAAGATCGTGTAGCGTATGGTGCTGCTACAATGTGCTATTCTATTAGGCTCCTTGTTGCTCTTTCATCTCCATATCCACCGATCATTTGGCCTTAAACTGTCGAAACCTAGTGTGTCTTCTGAAAAGGATGCGGTAGCTAGCGAGAGCAAGGACGCACACAAGGTTCAAGACTTGAATCTTGATAGTGTTCTCTTCATCTTCTGGTTCGTCTTCAGTATAAAACCAACGACAGGCTGACTGGCGAGATCCAGGAAGCGGGCTTGGAGCTGAATCTGACTGGAGCGCAAGTTCTAATGTCGAACTGAAATGCCCACCTCGAGGATAGTGATGAACAGGGCCCCAATGTCTATATTAACAGTCTACCGCTTTCAAGACCAGCTCCTCACCATCGTCGCCAACTTCGATGAGGTCATTAGTGTGTGGACTTTCACGTGCGGCGGACCAGTTCAAAGGCTGTGTGTGGGCGCTAGTAGGAAATAGCATGCATGTGCAAAGCCTTATACCATGTATTATACTGGTTGCAGGTCAATGTAATGTAATTGAAGCAAATGGGGATTGAAGTTAATTAAGTATGCCGGCTGATTGCCTTGATAGCTAATTTGCATGCCGGAAAAAATATTATCGGCCGGATCACAGATCCGAGTGCTACATTTTCTGAAAATTTTCTGTGACAGAAAATTGGAAATCTTCTGACCCGGAAAATTTCCAGAAGATTCTCAGAAGATTGATGGAAAATTCTAAATTTTCCGTGACAGAAAATCCTCGGAAAATCTTCAGAAGATCTTCAGAAAATTTCAAATTTTCTGTGCATTTTCTGGGGCAGAAAATGCATCAATGTCCGTAGTGATACCGGGTTGTGGTGGAACCATAGGCTTTCTGGAGGGGATGAATTTGGCCGTATGGTTGGCATATTCAGTCCAAGCCACATGAGTATCGGCTCTTATCTTCGAGCAATCGATTAAAGTTGAGTCGAAGTCCAAAGATCCGGTGTCTCCTGCTACACCTGATACCCAATCGTTCGTTTGGGGGTTTCGATGTCCTGGGGCATGCTTCCAATCACCTGTATTCCTCCGCTCCTCCGTTTCATCAAAGCGAAAGGTGATTGACTGGAGAAAGAGCACAGGGTCGAGTCGGAAGTTGTAGGATTTTGGGAGTTGAGATAGGACAAAATAGACAATAAGAAGGAGTGTTCGAACGATAAAGGTGGCGTGAGATTGTGGTGTAGTGAATGCAGCGCCTTCATGCACCCATGTGTAGCGCCGTGATTGTGGCTGGTTTGTACTAGGAAGTCTAGAATCAATAAGCGCTAGATACGATAATCATATCAAGATAAGAAAGCGTACCCAACTCTTGTAACCTCTGGTCCAACCCACAATACATCGTTATCTGACCAAGCGCATAAAGGAAGTTTTCCTAGCCCATTCATGCCCTTGGAAGGAGGATAAATAACATCATTTAAACGGAGACCCCAAGAAACAGGAGGTCCTTGCATAAGGGGCGGTGTACCAGCATGCTGACGAAGCCCAGAGAATAAAAACGAGGTTCTGGGGTAGAGAACGACATAGAATCCACCATCGATGAGATGTATAACACCAGGAAAGCACCCAGGTGGATAGTCGCCTTGTGCAATAAGATTGGTCAGATGGGCAAGACTATCCCATCCGTCCTGGTGAGAACCCCCAAAGGTTCCAAGTTCTCCCTGCAAGGACGGTGCTATAGACGATAAGAGTTATATCTATGCCTGAATGAGATATCATACCTGGACCATTTGCGTCTGGGAGACTTTGAATAGCAGATAGATTCAACTGAGCGGCTCCCGTAAAAACGTTGTTGTTGACGCCAATCGATGGGACATTTTGGAGATCGCCTTGGTTGGCTAGTAGAGCTTGAATATGGGGCGGGAGAAACTTCATTGTCGCAACCGTAATGGCACAGGTTGCCTTGGGAAATTATCAGTAGTTAAATCTTGTAAGCGCTTAAAAATACGCACCGCTAGATGATCTTTCCGAGCCTGCAGAGTAGCAGAAAGAGATCCATCCGGAGGCAGCTTGGCCTGCGCCGATGGTGCGAATATCCCAGTTGGCTTTTCCAGAGTAGTGGCAAGCGTTGCAACCCGCGCAGTCTTACCCACTGGAGTCCAGGCGTCGCTCTTCTCAAATAATGTTACACCATTAGCTGCGGCGCGTTGAGCTCGGGTTCCCGTTAAAACATCTCTGCTTTTCTCGTGGTTGACCCATAGCCCAGAATCCAGTTCGCTAAATTGATGAGTAAGTTATGAATGGCTAATATTCCTATACTCACTGAGGATACACTGCAACCACGGAATCATTCTCCGAAATGTGAATATCTGCTTGATGCATATCTCGAGCCACGACCATATCTCCAGGCAGTAATCGAACATAACCTGGACAAGCAAACGGTGTGAGCAAGCTTAACATCAAGTAAAACCTGCTGTAACTCACCAGCTGCATCCAGAGCCTTGATGGAGGTCAAGCCCGGGACCGGCTGCTTTTCTACCCAGGCCTTGAGCTCCGCGTTTGCTTTGGTGTCATGGAGGTAGCCCAAGGTTCGGCCCTGGAACTCGGAATGGAGAGGATGATTTTGTATGGTGAAGACATCGGGAAGATGTGGGTCTCTTCTGTTTGGAAGAGACAGATAGTCGAGCCCAGGAGCCTTTGGGCGGCGCTGGTAGGCCATACGAGCAGGGAGAAGCAATGACGTGTCAGCCTGACACGCGTGACAGCACTGGCTGAGGCCAGACGTCATCGTTTGATGAGCCCGCTCAAGGCTGGATTCCAAACAGCTATATATACCTAGCTAGATACACACATATATACTCTACAACACACCCCAGAAACAACAACGCAAGAGAATGAAAAGAGGATCAATATGCTGACTTACCTTTGCGGGCCATCCCAATGACGAGTTTGTGATGCCGCGGAGAGGCTGGAAGAGGTCAGTTGATGACCCAAGTAACCCCGAGCAGCAACTCACCTGCCAACAAGCACAACTCTGGCACGAATCATAAGTTCCACCTTGAAATCCCCGCTGCTGTGCTGGTCAGAGGCGTCGAGGGAAGAAGAACACCGCGGGTGTTTGTTGTCTGGAAAAGGTGCCGCAGGCGAGCTATGGTGGTAGCTATAGGGGTGATATCAGTGGAGTTTCGGGAGCGATGGCTGGTCGAGGACTCCCTGCCAGAAGTTGACGACACCAACTCCTGATTTGACGGCGAGTTGCGCGACAGCGATGGCCGCTCGTTCCGTGAGAAGGACTTGCTGCGACGTGCCTTCGGTGTTTGCGTTAGTTGTTCTATCAGTTGATAAACCAGGAAACGTCAGATGGGCTTGTGCTGAGAAAGATGGAACCACAAACCGTGTTTCGTATTAGCAGCACAGGCTAATAGATTGCTAATAGACTCACTCAAGAATAGCCGTCAGATATAGTGAAGCCGGGGCAATGAGTGTGGATGCTGGAGGAATAGTCCCGCCTAGCTGCAACATCCGTTCCTGGAGTTTTGAGACAGCAGTGGAGTCTTCATCAGACTCGTTTAATGTGCAATATGCCTCGCACTTGAGCCGGAGTAGCTACCGAATAGATGTCAGTCAGGGCGGAGAGACGAGACAGCAGGCGCGCACCTCAAAAGCCCCACTGTAGATTAAACGTTGTGCCATCGTCCTCTCTTTCACTCGGGCCTGGCCGGGGAGTTCTTTCCCAATATGCTCGCAGCTCGACCTCCGCTTCGAGCCGCTTCGAGTAATGCTTCCTTTCCTTGCCCAAGCTGGTCGGGAGAATGCTTAACAGGCTCGCACGCAGCTTGTCCCGTCAAGCGACCGGGCAGTATTGAGAATGTTGAAGAGGAATTCGTCAAGAAGGACATTGATGGAGCGGAGACCATCCACTTTCAGCTTAATGGGCCGGATGTCGCTGAGTATGACGTCGGCAGAGTGTGAGGAGAAATATTGTGGGAATGGCGCCATTCCCCGTTGCGCAGTTCGTCAACGGGCCGGGGCTGCAAAATGCAGTGACGAGGATGTTGTTGTAGTGGCCATTTTGCCAGGCAAGTTGCTGCTCTGCGCCGTGAGGCGGGCGGCGGCGTTGTCGGGCCCATCGGGGAAAGGTGATCATGAGAGAAGGCGAGCGCGAACAAGCTTGCTGTGCTCTGTGTTTGCGGACGCGACTCGAAACTGCTGGAGAGTGAGTCAGTGGAATAGATAGGTGCGGCTGTGGGCGAGAAAGAATTCGAGTACTTACTGGGAAAGTCCTTCGTTAGGCCGCCTCAACGGCGCCAACAAACGAGCCACTAAGAACAACGACAAGGTTAGCAGGAACTCCACACGGATATACTCACTCACACCCGTTCTTGCACAGATTGACCCCAGCGTCAACCACCCGTTCAGGAAACGCGTCAGGCCAATGTTGAGATCCTCAATAGTGCTCCACGCATCCGTCCGTTTCTCCTCGTACTCGCCCGCTATTTGCGAGCCACTCGGCTTGCCCCGGAGCTGCTCGCCCGCGCCATGGAGGAGTTCAAGAACCGTGGTGAGAGGTGAGCTCGAGACGAGCAAAGGAGAGTTGGCACGGCACTAAGTGACGTGATGGCTGATCGTTGTTATGAACGGACGGCGGTGTGGAGATGCCATGGTGGAAGCTTGGGCGAGTTCCGCTCTACTGCTTTCGAGACGCGTGCCGCCTGGAAACTGGGCTGGCCCAGATCAGCTGGTC